CTGCTGCTGCTGCTACGACTACGACTACGACTACGACTACGACTACGACTACGACTACGACCACGACTACTACTACTACTACTACAACTACTGCTACTACTTCCATTTGCTACCACAACTGCGACGACGACCTCGACGACGACGCGACTACTACCACCTCCTAGATTCACTTATGTTACACGATCAACACCAGCTTTGGGGTTCAAGACAATGTCAGATCAGACTCGAAACGTGCTTTCGGGCTCAGGATAAACGCTCAACAGCAGGGGGGCCTGTGAAAACACGTCCTGTCCTTTCAAAACTCGGCCTCTGACGGCCTACCATCTTACCCTGATCGCTCCAGTTCTTGATTTCCTGCAGAAAGGCCACTCAAGCCGAAAGCCTGGACATCACTTTGGAGTCTTGCAGGCAGCCCTCCAATGCATTGGGAAGGACGGTTCCTGACCTTAAATTCAAGCAGATTCCTTGTGGCATCTGACGGAACACTTCTTCTCTCGTTATTGTTGCCGCAGCCCAAAAGCGAGCTCATGTGAACATCGTTCTACCGGGGCAAGATCACAATTAAACAAACTTCGTTCTCAACCCCGTGTTTGACGAGTGTGTAGTTGAGCGCTGCATTGATCATATAGGGGCATCTGTGCTACGTGCCAAACTGCTATTAGGCTCGGGATCTCGACCCTGCACAGCAATCTCAAAACTCGTAGCTCCGACCCTTGAGCATAAATGGAAGCTGGCATAATCCCCAGGCCTCAAGGCTTCGAATATCTCGACTCTCGCACTCTCACAAGGCAGGCAAGACTCCACACGATTCAGCAGAATGGATTGAGTCTGGGGGTTCGGTCTTGGGAAGGTTTCTGCCGACACCAAAGGGGCACACATCAGAACAAGTGAGTAAGATGAATGCTTGCTTATGGAATCCCACAGCCGCGAACCAACCAAATGCATGCATGCATACATAAGCACATACACACATATGTATACATACATATATATATATATTAATATGTATGTATGTGTCTTCATACAGACATGCATGTCATGTCTGCATTTAGATATATACAAACAAGTAAGAATAAATAAGTGAATAATTACATATGTGTATAATATATATATATATATATATATATATATCTCTCTCTCTCTCTCTCTCTTTCTCTCTTTAATATACAATATGTATCTAGGGTATGTACCTA